CTTGAGCCACAGGCGCTGAGCCCCAACTCTTGGTCTTAAGCGATTCTCTTGCTTCAGCCTCCCAGGTAGCTAGGACTACAGGTACCCACCACAATTGCCTGGCTGTTTTTTGTTGCAGTTGTCATAGTTTAGCTGGCCTGGGCTGGGTTCGAACCCACCAGCCTCAGTGTACGTGGCCGGCTCTGTAACCACTGTGGTATGGGCACCGAACCCTATCCTTACATTTTATATACAAAGAAACTGAGGTTCAGAAGAGTTAAGTGAATTGCTCATGGCCACACAATTAATTGTTACATGATGATGACTTTTTGTGAATGATAAGCCAATATCTTTTTTCATAGAGTGCCCCTTTCATTACAACATTCCATTTGTTACGGCTCCTATTTCCTTAAAGTTAAAGTTAACAAGTAGCTGGCTTGGCACCTGTAGTTCAGCAGCTAGGGCGCCAGCCACACACACCAAAGGTACAGGTTTGAACCTAGCCTGGGCCTGCCAAAAACAATGACAATTACAACAATAATATAGCCAGGCATTGTGGCGCATGCCTGTAGTCCCAGCTACTTGGGAGGCTGAGGCAAGAGAATCATTCAAGCCCAAGGGTTGGAGGTTGCTGTGAGCTGTGATGACACAGTACTCTACCAAGGGCAAAGAAGTGAGACTCAGTCTCAAGAAAAAAAGAAAAAAAAAGTTAACAAGTAGCTTAGTACATTACATATGAAACTTGCCTCATTTTAAAATCCTATTTAAAAAATTCTTTTTTAAGATAGAGTCTCACTTTGTCCCCCTGGTGAGAGTGCCATGTCACTACCCACTACCCACCTCTTGCCTTAGTCACCCAAGTATGTGGGACTACAAGTGCCCACCACCATGCAGCTAGGTTTTTTTTTATTTTTTAATAGAAACAGAGTATTACTCTTTCTTAGGCTGGTCTGGAACTCCTGAGCTCACACAATCCACCTGCCATGGACTCCCAGGTTTAGAAGAATGAGCCACTATTCCCAGCCCCTATTAAAAATGTTTTAAACTCATATCCATTGCTCTAAAAGGGTTGGCTCTTTTTGTTTTGTTTTGTTTTGTGACAGAGTCTCACTCTCTCACCCTCAGTAGAGTGCCAGGGTGTCACAGCTCACAGCAACCTCAAACTCTTTGGGCTCCAGAGATCCTCTTGCCTCAGCCTTCCAAACAGCTGAAACCACAGGCACCCCCCTACAATGCCTGGCTATTTTTAGAGATGGGGTCTCTCTCTGGCTCAGGCTGGTCTGACAAGCAGTCCACCTTGTTCAGACTCCCAGAGTGCTAGGATTATAGGCGTGTACCTGGCCTACAGGGTTGACTCTTTAAAGGAGACAGTTTGATTTCCCTTATAATTCTATCATATTCCAACCAGAGTTAGGCACAGACCATGGCACTCAGTGAAGAAGTTGTCTGAACTGGTGTAATGGATCCTCTGTCCACTGATCTGCTTCTATAGGGTGCAAAGCTTCAGTAAGTCTGACACTCAAGCATATCTCCATTGCTCCAGATATAGTGATAGCTCTAGAAATGACCCCAATTCCATTAATGTTTAATCTCTCTTTATTTCTTTCTTCAGGATCTACAGTCTTTGCAGAAATTCAGGGAGTCATTGATGCTTGCATTAAGCTATCTGGAATGCCTGATCTCTCCCTTTCTTTCATGGTAAATTTTGTTCTCCATTTCTATAGCCCCTTGCATGCCTAATACATGTAAAGTATAGAATGCAATGATAAATACTGAGATAAGTTTATGTCTTAGATTAGAAAGAATTGTCTCAGAAATAGTCCCATTCAGTCAATCACTTACATCAGCAGTCCCCAGCATTTTTGACATCAAGGACTGATTTCATGGATCGGGGCAGATGGTTTGGGGATGATTCAAGCATATTACATTTATTGTACACTTTATTTCCATTATTACATTGTGATATATAATGAAATAATTGTGCATTTCACCATAATGCAGAATCGGTGGGAACCCTGCACTTGTTTTTCTGACAATAGAAGGTCCCAGCACTAACATCACCACCTCAGCTTAACCTCAGAGCATCAGGCATTAGTTTCTCATAAGGAATGTACAGGCTAGATCCCTCGCATGCAGTAGCGTTTGCACTCCTATGAGAATCCAGTGTCATTGATGCCATTGCTGATTTGATGGGAGGTGGAGCTCAGGTGATGATGCCAGCACTGGGAGGCAACTGCAAATACAGATGAAGCTTCTCTCACTTGCCTGCCTGGTTCCTAACAGGCCATGGGCCAGTACGGGTCCATAGCCTAGAGACTAAGGACCACAGACTTACATGATAACCATGTCCTTTATGGAAATGATAAGGAGAAGGCTTTGATTAAGTGTGCTGGAAGTGCCTTAAAACTGGCTGGCTTACTTCTGCAGGTCTCCAATATCATTTTTACTAAATAATTACTTGCTTCGCTGATATGAAAAGGCATTGATCTTTTGTATCATTTTCAGCTCAGCATAACATACTGCTAAGAACAATTAAGAAAACTAATTTCTGGTGCTATCTCTGTCATCAGTTTGTCCTGACCTTAAGTTCTTGGAACCTCAATTTTTTTCATCTATGAAATGGAAATACTACTACTCACCTTTTCTCCCTCATAGAGTTATTGATTTTTAAAAGAATAATGTATATAAAATATTGGAAGCAGGGGCACCCAAACTTTTGGCTTCTTTGCACCACATTGGAAGAAGGACAGTTGTACTGGGCCACACATTAAATACACAACACTAACAAAAGCTGATGAGCAAAAAAGAAAAAAAAAAATCCAAGCATAATTTTCATGATATCTGCCAAGACAGGTAAGCAAAAAAGTCCTCAAGTAATTTGTATGTGGCCCATGGGCTACAGGTTGGACACCCCTGCAAGTATAGTGGAACAATCAGGTTGAGTAAAGTTGTGTCATAATAAGCTGTCACATGACTGCTTTATCTTTAGGGAGCATATTAATTTTTTGTAGAGTTGCCTCATTCATTATATTCTATAACACAGTTCTCTTCTGTTTTCCTGGCAGAACCCACGACTCCTGGATGATGTCAGCTTTCACCCCTGCATCCGGTTCAAGCGTTGGGAATCTGAAAGAGTTTTATCATTTATTCCTCCAGATGGAAATTTCCGACTCATATCATACCGTGTCAGCTCACAAAAGTATGTTTAATGCATCAACCCTAATCTGCCACCATATACATCAATGCACTAAATAGAACTCACCTTTCCCTGTTCCATTCTGACCATTGGGTACGTGAGTTCATCAGTGCCCACTTTAACCATGGCTCACTAGGAGACCCTTTGAGAACTGCTGAAGGTGTGTGCCTAGAATAACCAGCACACCTTAGAGTGTAAAGTAGTAGTAAGTGAGACTATCGTATAATCTGTAGCTGGGAGCAAGCATTTTGGACCATACATAATCTGGGCAAAGCTATGAACTGCTGCCACAATTTTACCATGGTCTGTAGACTTTTGTGGTACCTAAAGGAGACACATCTGCCTGTAGCTCTCTAGGATATTTCCTAATACCTGTTTCAAGTCACTCTTCTCTGCTTTGAGTTTTCTTTTTTTTTTTTTTTGCATTTTTTGGCCAGGGCTGGGTTTGAACCCGCCGCCTCCGGTATCTGGGGCCAGTGCCCCACTCCTTGAGCCACAGGCACTGCCCTTTTTTTTTTTTGAGACAAAGTCTTACGATATTGCCTTTGGTAGAGTGCCATGGTGTCATGGCTCACAGCAACCTCTAACTTTTGGGCTTAAGTGATTCTCTTGCCTCAGCCTCCCAAGTAGCTGGTACTACAGGCACCCATCACAGTGCCCAGCTATTTTGTTGTTGTTGTAGTTGTCATTGTTGTTTATCTGGCCCAGGCCAGGTTCAGACTCACAAGCCTTAGTGTATGTGGTTGGCGCCATAACCACTGTGCCACAGGTGCCAAGCCCTCTGCATTGAGTTTTAAAGGAATGATTTAGTGTTGTAAGTTGTAGCTCTCTTGTACCTTGAAAAATATCAGAAGTTATTTGGGTAATATCAGGACAAGACTCAGAAACTAAGAAATTATTTCTTGGCTCTTATCACATAGGAACTGTGTTAGTTTGGTTTTTTTTGTTTGTTTGTTTTGGGGGTTTTTTGGTTTTTTTGAGACAGAGTCTCACTATGTTACCCTCAGTAGAGTGTGCTGTGGTGCCACAGCTCACAGCAACCTCAAATTCTTGGGCTTAAGAGATTGTCTTGCCTCAGCTTCCTAAGTAGCTGTGACTACAGGTGCCTGCCACAGTGCTTGGCTATTTTCTTGTTGCAGTTGTCATTGTTGTTTAGCAAGCCCAGGCCAGGCTTGCTGGCGCTGTGCTACAGGAGCCGAGCCAACTGTGTTAGTTTGTGTAAAACACATATATTAAATTATCTTTCAGTGAGCTCTTAACTCATTCTTGTAAAGTAGAGCCATTTGTCCTAATGTTTATGCTATAATTAAACTTGAGATTTGTCTTGATTCCTATACTTGTTGTTGAAAAATCATACAGTTAATAGTTCAGTGTTACCATTGTGCTACACTCAGCTCCCCCTTGCATAGATGCTTAATCTGTGGTTCTAGAGATACAGTTGTTAATTGGTTCCAGAACAATTTCCTACCCCATGGACACCAAAATCAGCAGATGCCCAAGACCCTTAAATAAAATATATTTACAGATAAGCTGTACACATCCTCCTGTATACTTCAGACCATCTCCAAGTTACTTGTAATAATTAATACAACATAAATGCTATGTCAGTAATTGTTATGCTCTCTTTATTTTTTTATTTGTTTTATTTTTCATTACTATATTGTTACTGCTTACTGGGCTATTTTTCCCCCCCAAATATTTTTTCTTTGTCTTCTCTTCTTTTCTCTTCTCTCTCACTTCCTTTCTGAGACAAGGTCTTGTTCTATTGCCCAAGCCAAAGTGCACTGGCATCATCATAGCTGACTGCAACCTCACACTCCCAAGCTCAGGCCTCAGCCCCCTGAGGAGCTAGGACTATCCTGACAATTTTTTTTGTAAAGACAGAGTCTCACTGTTGCCCAAGCTGGTTTTAAACACCTGACCTCAAATGAACTTCCTACCTCAGCCTTCCAACGTGCTAGGATAACAGGCCTAAGGCACCACGCCTAGCCCCAAATATTTTCAAGCCACATTTGGTTGAATCCAAGGACACAGAACCACAGATAAGGAGCGCCGACTGTATAGAGCCCTTTTGTGGAGTTAGAGGGTTAAGGAACGCTGCAGAGATTTTCGGGCCGTCTGTGAAGCTGTGCCACACCACTAATTATGTGTATATGTGCTTTATCTTCCTCTATTCCCTCCTCAGTCTAGTGGCAATACCAGTGTATGTGAAGCATAATATCAGCTTTAAGGAGAACAGTTCATGTGGCAGATTTGATATAACAATTGGACCAAAACAGAATATGGGAAAAACTATTGAAGGAATTACAGTGACAGTTCACATGCCAAAAGTTGTGCTGAATATGAACCTGACACCAACTCAAGGCAGCTACACATTTGATCCAGTCACCAAGGTACAGCCACCTCAGATCAAGAGTGAGCAAGCGTTTCTGCAATCTATTTTGTGATTTGGGGGGAGCAGTGGAGGGAGGGCTTTAGCATTTATTTAAAACTAAAGTTCCTGGCTCGGCGCCTGTGGCTCAAGTGGCTAAGGCGCCAGCCACATACACCTAAGGTGGCGGGTTCGAATCCCCAGCCCGGGCCCGCCAAACAACAATGATGGCTGCAACCAAAAAAAATGGCCGGGCGCTGTGGCGGGCGCCTGTGGGCCCAGCTACTTGGGAGGCAGAGGCAGGAGACTCGCTTGAGCCCAGGAGTTGGAGGTTGCTGTGAGCGTGATGCCATGGCACTCTACCCAGGGGGATAGCTTGAGGCTCCGTCTCAAAAAAAACAAAAAACAAAAAAACTAAAGTTCCTGTCAAAACCTAGAGAGGACACTGGGCCGTGCTTGTGCCAGTGGCTGCAGGGGTTGGGGGTGGGCCTTGCATCTGCTGCTGAGTGGAGAATGGAAAAGTGAGGCTCACTCTGTCCTTTTCCAGGGTGTGCCTTTGCTTATCCATTGATAATCCAGAGACTCATTCCATTATCTAATGAGAAAGAATAGAAGGTTTTTAAAAAGAGATAAATACTACGTGGATCTAAGAAGATAGCATTAAACATTCCTCTTATAGAGAGTTTTCAGAGAGACTGTAAAAGATGGTTTTTCTCTCAGCTTCCTGCTGGGTGGAAAATATGATTGTTTTCAACAGCAGGGTCATTGGCCTGCCTGATAAATGAAATGGCATATTTGTTAATAAAGTCACGGAATTTTAAAAATAATTTAACCTAATCTTAAAGATTCAGAGACTCTTCCCAGAGACCACACAGGGCTGAGAAGGGGAGCTCCAGATCCCTGGCCTTTTACCCAGGGGCTTCCGCTATAACAGCCTTGCTTTCTCATCTGCTGTTGAGCTTACACACTAAAGGTTTTGTTTGAACAGATGGTTCATAGCTAAAAGTTTAAAAACACCAACCTCGGTCTTAATTTATAGAAAAAGAAAAAGGTCCACAGAGAAGTAGTGAAGACAGTATGGAGAACATGTGAAATCAGACAGCCTTAGGTTCACATCCCAACCTTGCCTCTAACTAGCTTGTGGCCCTGTCATTTGATCTCTCTGAGCCTTCATTTCCTCACTGACAAACAGAAGACAAATGGCGTTCCCAAGCTTCTGTGAGATAACATGTGCATAGTCCTGAGCACAGTGCTAATCCAAAAGTAAAGGCTCAACCAGGTCCAGTGTCCACCCTCCCTCCCACTCCCACTCACAGAGCTGATTCCTGGTAAACTCAATCTCAGGTCTCTTGTTCTCCAGCACTGTGCTTCATTTTGTATGGAAGTTTATGGTGTCTTTGAACCTTGTCTTTACCAAATGGTTTTGATTGTATGTCTTTTTAAGGTACTAACATGGGATGTGGGAAAAATTACTCCTCAGAAGCTCCCAAGTCTTAAAGGACTGGTAAATTTACAGTCTGGAGCACCCAAGCCAGAAGAGAACCCAAGCCTCAATATACAGTTCAAGATCCAGCAGCTTGCTATTTCAGGTAAGGATAAGTTTGACTTGTGTTTAAAGGTAATTGAGCTTTACTGAGCTCAACTGTCAGGAGTTTACAAGAATAACAGGATCCCTGTCTCTAGTTTGAGACAGGAGCTCTAGTTTGCCTTTTACACTGGGCCTAGGGGCCAGTGCCCTAGACAGGAATGATTTAAGAAAGTGCTTTATTTCTCAGAGCCTCCTCTCACCTCCACCAAAGGAGGGAGTCATTCACTTTTACAAAAAGTAGGATTATCCTTAACAGGCATTCCCTACCCACAAAAGAATCTTAACTAAAACCGTACCCTCTAAGTGCAATAATCTGTGAATATTAGAAGTAACGTTGCTTCCAAATGGTGGAAGGGGGCCTGTCAAATTTACCAGGTAGTGTTCATTGCTAACATGGTATTGAATTAGCAGAACTGTATTGGTATGACTGATAATTTATTCCTTTTCATTCTTTTTGACACAGGCTTAAAAGTAAACCGCTTGGACATGTATGGGGAGAAGTATAAGCCATTTAAAGGAGTCAAATATGTCACAAAAGCTGGAAAGTTCCAAGTGAGGACATGAGAAGAGGCCAAATTTCTCAAGATCAGTTTGTTTTCCAAGTGTCATTACAATTTATTACTATTAGGTACCAAGTGGGTGGGAATACATACTCTAGTTAAAGCATTCGTGTGGAGCTACATACTGCTAACAAAGTAGCTTAGTAATTAAAGTAGGGTTCTTAAGGAGCTTTAAGCTAAGGAAACTTTTTTAATGACTTAGCTTATTTTGTATCTTTTCACTTAGGAAGATTTTGGAAGTGATTTCTTCCACAGTGGGGTACCCCACCAGGACACTGCACATTATAACAGTAAAGGCAGAAAGTTACAGTGATAAACTCTCCCCAAAACTGGTCTCATCCAGCAGGAGCGATCTTAATCTGCGACATGATGTGTCAGGTGCAGCCAACTATCATACCTTCTGCTCTTAGCATCCCAAGTCAGTGTCTCTCCCAACAGAGGAAATCTCTCCCACCCCAAGAAGTTTACAGAAAACTGCCTCTTCAAGTGTTTGCCTTATTCAGCTTTTCACTCGTGCCATTAAGCAAGCACTGTAGCAAAAGCCACTTCCACATGGCCCTGGCAGGGAGCGTTGCCGCTCCACGCTCCATTCTCACTGAACTTGGTATTGTATTTTTTATAAATAAGATTTTTATGTAGAGCTCAGATTTTGATTTAAGGGACCTTGCTACAGTAAACACCATCTCCATTTTGTGCCACTGGTTCAGCTGTTCGCCTAGTAAATATCATTTGTATCAAAGGGCAAATGCTTTATTAAGGTAGTAAAAGGGAACACTACTTCTGCTTTGAAGAAGTTTTTGCAAGCACAAGCATTTGCGCTTTTAAGCAAATTAAAGTAGTAAAAGAGAAACTTAAGTGAAATCTTTGCCATCTTCCTGTTTTATAAAGCTTATCCAACACTGCTTAAAGTAGGGTTAGCCTACATGCTTCGTGCCCCCGTTCAGCGAGAGGAGGAAGCTATGCTTGCCTCACTGGCATTCAGTCTTTTTAAATCTTTGGTTGCTGTTCTCCGGGGTTGGATTTGCCCGCATCCCTCTTCATCTTGTGTGCTTCCCCGGGGTCGAGTCAGATTTCCTTCCTAGTACTATTGTCACACCTGTCATTGGTGTACTTACGTCTCTCCTGTACTGACAGAACACTGACAGTGCATTACATGCACATAGTGAGGCAGAAAGAAAACCCTCAGCAGCATAGGTGGTACCCCACTAGTCATCATGGTTAGAAAGTCAGTGGACAGTTAGATTTTTTCACTCAGCTTCACTGTGTCACTTCGTTCAGCTTCATAGGCTTAGTGGTCCTTGCCTAGTCATTCTGCCTCATTAGGGAAATGGAGAGAGGCTGAAAGTTTAAAGTGCTTATTCTTTACATTCCTTCTTGTTCCTACTTAAGCTATAAGTTTTCTTCTCCTGGTGGCTCTATTCTGTTCTGTCTTCTCAGCTTGTAGCTCACTTTCCCTCTTATGTGAAGGTTGGCCCTTGTACTCATTTATGCAGCCCAGGGCTAGTGGTTTGTGCTAGTAGCGGGAACCCACTGTACCGCCATCCATTCTTACCTTTGCCTGCCTAGGGGGCCCAACCTGCCTTTCATCTATTAAGAAAGACCACTTCTAAATTTCTAGAATAAACAATCAGATTGGCAACTAAAGTCAAAATACTGCCCATTAGTTATTCCTTTTGCCCTAAGGTTGGTTACCCAGTTCAATTACTTCACTTTTTTTTTTGAGACAGAGTCTCACTTTGTTGCCCTCAGTAGGGCAGTGGTGTCACAGCTCACAGCAACCTCAAATTCTCGGGCTTAAGCGATTCTCTTGCCTCAGCCTCCCAAGTAGCTGGAACTACAGGCGCTGCTACAATGCCCAGCTATTTGTTTTTGTTGCAGTTGTTGTTGTTTAGCTGGCCCCCGGCTGGTTTTGAACCTGCCACCCTTGGTGCATGTGGCCGATGCCACAACCACTGTGCTATGGGCGCCGAGCCTGCTTTTCATTTTTAACGTCTTACTCTTCAGAGTCCTTACCACAAAAGAGCAGAGAGAACATTTGCATTTTTTCTGCAGAATCCCTAATCCTGACGATCTATGCCTAGGCTGTCCAGTTTTCCTCCTGTGCTGTCTTCTCTTCTATCCAAGCAGAATGGATGCCAAGAGACCTTGCCTCAAGCAGTTTCTCCTATAGCCAAGTAGACTGTTTCTTTTCACAATTAAATTATTTTATTTATTAATTTGATAGAATCTAGTAAATCATTTCGTTAGCTCTGGTTATACTATCAATAAAAAGATAAAAGCAAGACATTGTTTTTGCTTTTTTTTTTTGGAAGCTTCATTGTTGATCAGACATTCTCAGATATGTGAGGCTCAGTGTCAGAACAGGTTGAATATGACGAGATTTTTTTTTCTGTATCATCACCCAAACTACTTTCCCTGCCACCACCACTACCACTTACCAATAGCAAATATTTATGAAGACTTAGCAGTATTAGAATATTCCAGGTAATCCCCAAAATATTCCCTTTTTCTAAATTCATGAAGGAGTATAGCCCATGAGTAGATGAAGTAGATCATTGATGTCTGCCTGAGGGAATCAACTGTCATTTTATTGGAAGTTTACCTGATGGGCTCATTCCTTGAGTGGTACTACAGAAGAACCATTGGAAGATGCTGGTCCGCTTGTCCTTAGAGGCAACTTACTTGAGAAAACAACTGTAATGCAGCCGGAAGGCAGCACCAGTGAATGTGGTAAACAACAAAGATGAGACAGTTGTAGAGACTGCTGGTACAACAGCCTCAGATGTCTTTAATTCAAACATTGCGACCTGCCTCTGTAACTGGCAACACTGCATATCAATATCACCCTTTAATTATACTCACCCCTTTCAGGTCTAGGAAATCAGGTAAAAACACTCATGTTTCAACTCTAAACCAAGCACCTACTCTACTTTTTTAGTCAGTGCTTCCTCAAGCAAGAAGAGGAATATAGTCCCCAAAGCCAACTCTTGCCCCCATAGCTCTGGTGAATTCTTGACAACTCTACTATTCTATACCGGACTTTGGAATAAGAAAAATGGACCTGGGGTACTCCTGCATATTTATCAATATCAGCTTTCTTGGAAATAGTGATGGGCTCCAGGAATGGCTAGCATCTTCTAAGATGAAGACAAACCCCTTCAACCGGGGGGATCCACATCTAGCTGTCTTCTGCCTACTGTTGATCCTCGTGACTTTGATTCCTACTCTAGTATAATCCCCAAAGTTGTCCACCATCACACAGATCCTCATTACTACTATTGGTTTCTTCTCCCAATACATTCAGATTAAATAAAAATACAGTTCCCAGACACTAAGGATTAGTTTCACTGGGTATTCTTCAAAGTGAAGAAGAAACCTGACCCATCATCACTTAAAGCATTATTTATATAAATGCATTTTATTGTTTTAAACAGAACAAAAAAGGCAGAAAATATTTTCATATAACAAATCCTAGCTTATAAATGTAGGTTTTTAGTGGTGACATACCTAATCATTCAGGGATTCTTTTAATTTGCTTCACTGTGCCTTCCACACTGATACTATAGAAAAGCACATCTGGCATAAAGTATAAACCAGTGTCTCAATCTACCAGAAGAACTTGGTGAGCAAACATGATTTTTCTTATTTCCCCTAATCTTTAGTAAAACAAAAGGTGATCTTTGGCATAGATTCATACTTTAAAGGCATTAATATTGCATTTTATCCGGTAAGCACTATACAAATATGCTGAGGGCTTTGAAAATAACCTTCATTAGTTAAAAGGAAATACAGGAAGCCTGAGTGTACAGGACCACTACGCAAGTTTTCTACATTCAGTGTTGGGATCTAACACACACTGGGGGTGGTAGCTAGGACATTCGGGCAAGAGTTCTTTCTATACTCATCTGCTTCTGGGCTCTGGGAAGAAATATGGTTCCATGTGCCAGGAAACACTTGGTGACAATTTGGAAACCCTCTCTCAATTTGCCTAAAAGGAATCTTACTGTGGTGATAAGTAAATATTACCCATTACTGGAACAATCATACTTGGAAGAGAAATGTAGGAGGCCTTGTTTGTAGTTGGCTGAAGGGAGGTAGGAATTATAGAGGAGTATTTCCCATTCCTAGTAGCACCAGAATTCTAGACTGCAGATCCCACTCTGCCTTAGGCAGGAAGTGTCCTTCAGACAGGATTATCCTTCTATATAAACACTGGGTGGGGAGTATTAATTCTTAGGACTGAATTTCAAAAAGTTAAAAAGGATCTTCAAAAAAAACTACAGATGAACACCTACTTATCTTTAAAATCTTGTTTCGGAAGTGTGGGGGAAGACTACAAAAACCAGGATGGGAGACATGATTTGGTTAAAAATAAATGCAGCATTTCAGCTCAGAAAGAACAATTAGAGCTATGTATGAATGCTAAGGCCTCAGCACAGACCTCCACAGGCAGTGACAAAGCATTGAGAGCCTGGGAGTGGCCCCACGGGAAGATGGGCAGGGCTACACCCCAGCTACTCTGCCCTTCCAGTGGCAGAGAGCACCAGGACACAGTGTTTGGGGGGTGGCTACCTTGGTGGCCAAGGCAGGATATGGGATGGGAAGTTTCCCTAGCACAGACATCACTGGGGGGGTGGGGGGGGGCATGATAAAGAATCATGTGACTCTGATTTCCTCTCTGAAGTCTAGTTTTATACTGTGGAAAACTAGAAAGATTAAATTGGGGAAGGGCAGGAAATGAATCCAGGCCCCATAGGCTAGGGCTCCCCAGAGGCCACCTTTCCCTGCAGCAGCGAAGCTCACTTCTGAAAAGGACCCAGTAGCACAGCCCAGGGAAGGCAGGCAGGGTCAGCAGCAGCAGCAGCATGGAAAGCTCAGAACAATTTTTGGAGGCACAGTGATTTCCTTAACTGACTTGTCTAGGGAACCTGGAAGAATAAACGGGGTCCAGCGGAGGGAAACAGGGAAATGTCTCCTAGGCATCAAGGGCAGAGCAGGGTATCTGGCTAGTGTTACTCTTGGATTCTGAGTGTACATGAAGTCCATGGGCTAGAAACCCGATCTGCCTATCAGGATAGAGTGTGCACAAGTATAACTGTGTTTGAGAATACAAGTTTTATACGGAGACACATTTCAAAGTGTCCATGAAAAAAGTATAAATGTTTTCTAATGTGAAGAGGCCCCCCCCCATTCCCTTCTGATGTGTCAGGCCACAGTGTGGCTTTCAACCCCCAACAACTCTGGGTGACTCCTGGGACTCAGATCATTTGCCTTCTGCTTCGTCGGGGTATTTGTCCCAGCCAGGTTCGGTCGGGTGCCTACTGGTACCAGGGAGTTTTTCTAACCCAGCGCAGTGTAAAGCCAGCATCTGTTCGAATTTTGATTGAAGCAGCTTCTGCTTCTCGCACAGTCTCCTTCACAGACTGCATAAGGTTCTGGGCATTGTGAACCAGCATCTCTGTGGCCTGCAAGGAAAGAGGCACTCTCCATTACCCATAGTCCCTGCTGCAGCCCTGCCTACAGAATAGCTTTAAGCCAAGAGTAGACTGCAGTGAACCCCACCGCTACCTGGCTTCCCCTCTTCCTGCCACATCACTGATGGTTTAGCAGGATCACCAAAGAGACCCCAAAGTGGACCATCACCCACTGTGTGCCCTCAGATGGCCTCAAGGTACTCTGTCTTCAAACATGCTCCTCCCTCAGGACTCGCTGTTCCCAGTACCTGGAGTCCTCTTTACCCAGGTAGACTCTGCCTCCTTACTCGTCTCCTTCAGATCTCTGTTCAATTGTCATTTTGGTGAGGCCCTGTTCACAAACCACCTCCCCATCTCCAGCATTGCTAATCCTTCCATGCTTCCTTC